CAGATCAGGTTTACATCTAGTCAAAATTTGGGCTAAACCAACAATAAACAGAAACCCTATGAAAACAACCATGATTATAGGAGGACTACACAGAATGCAGTGTTTATTCATGATTTCCACATAAATTATATGCTTTGATATATTCACCCCATCTTGAATGGCAAAGCAATTAAAAAGAAGCTAATTACTCGTAATCAAATGCTAACAATTTGATAGGATTCATTTTATTTACAATATAGATTGCCAACTGTTACTGGTATTTTAAAATATAAATATATTTATAGATATTCTTCATAAAATGCCTTTTGCAAACAGTAAGTGTTTAATGTGCTGGTTAAAAACAACTTTCTTACCTCAGATAACTCCATTGCTAACACTAGCTCAGCTCTATTATGAAGAAGCAATGCTCTGGTGTTGACTCGGCTTTTCCTGCGCGTGCACATTAGGAGGCGTGGCTTTCGGCTCTTTCAGGAAGGGCGGGGGAGTGAGCAACAGCCGTTCGAATTTAAAAATCTCCTCCTCCTCACCCTGACGGCGTCATCCTGCGGACTGTGCCTTTAAAGTAAATTTCTGGGTGTAATCCTTGATCACAAATTATGTTGGAAACCTCACATAAAATATTCTAAAGGAAAGGTAGCACGGAGTATTGGGGTGTTGGGGAAAGTAAGACATTTTGTGAATCAAAAGGCGTTGTATACACTGTACTGCACACTGATAGTACCATACCTAACTTACTGTATTGGAATGTGGAGAAACATCTATAAAACCACCCTATATGCACTTTGTACGTTACAAACACGAGCCATAAGGTTGGTCAGTCATGTGGGATATGATGAACACAAAAATAGCTTGTTTATAAAATTACAAACCTTAAAGTTCAAAGATTTGATTGAACTGAGGACTGCATTATTTATGTACAAAGTAAATAAAAAAAATACTGCCTGAAAATATTCAAAAACTGTTTGCAGAAAGACAAGGTGGATATAAGCTGAGAAGGGAATTAAATTTGAAGCAGAATTATGCTCGAACAAAATAGAAAAGTATGTGTATTTCAATTAGTGGAGTTATTTTAGTTATGTAAAAACATGTACTTTCACTCAGTTTAACATCTTTTATTTGAGGTAGTTTAGTCCTCGTAATGGACAAGACGTTCTGTGAATTTGGGAATATTTGCTCTTGACTGCCTAAGGGAAACAGAATATTTCAGGGAGCATAATTCCCCACGACACCCGTTTCACGTGGATCACGGAGCGCGCCGCTCGATGTAAACAAACTGGCTGCCGCTACCAGCTTACATGGATATGGAGCGATCACTGGCTGATCATTAACTACGGCTGGTGAAGGAGTGTTGGTGAGCCGGGGACTCGCTGGAGATCAAGTAAACAATGCTGACTTATCCACCAGCTAATCGTGGCTCACGGCTGGTGTGGTGGAGATCGGCGTCACGAGCCACCAAGCTACTAGTTAGCCATGGCTAGAGCCGGGGAGACGCTGTGTGTAAACTCCCACGGATTACCAGCAAAAGGAGGCCCAAGTCTAAAGGTAACGTTTGAGAAGAAGCCCTGTGTCAGAGCGTCTCTGTAACGCGTGGAGAACTACGCTGCTCTTAGTAAAGTGTTATGTAAACAACGCTGATTTAGCCACTGGCTAACGGACGAGCGTGTTGGGCCAGACGGCAGGCTGCAAGATGGAGCTGAAACAACTAATCGATTTAATCGATTATAATCGATTATTAAAATAGTTAACAACTTTTTTAGTCATCGATTAGTTGTTTAATAATCACATTTTACAGCATAAAGTCTATTTTTACCACAATCTGACATCGGTTACAATCTGTTAAATTTGCCGCCAGTGTGTGGCAGTAATGAGCCACTGATCTACCAGTGGAGCCGTAGAAGAAGAAACGAGCCAATAAGTGCCCTCGGTTTTCATGACGTAACACGTTACTGACGCTCATCTTGCTGTGAGAGATGGCGGAACAAGAAGAAATACGGAAGAAAAATAAAAGCGACAAAACTGAAGAGAAACCCCGGACAAAAACCTCACGAGTATGTGAGCACTTCACTCTAGATGCCATGAAAAGACGGGTGACCTGCAAAATATGCAAAAACCATCTAGCATAGCACGGAAGCACGACGTCCCTAAGTGAACATTTGAGACGAAAACATGTGGGGGCTGATGCAGCAGAGGAAGAGCCAGCCCGGTAAGTAACAGAAAATAAGCTAAATATAGTGGTCCATCACTACACGCAGATCCATTTTGGGACTTAGTGTTTTAGCTGAGTTCGTTATAGTGGATGTTAAACATGTTTTTTTGCTGCGTCAGTCTACGGTGTTCTACTTCTGATTGACTAAATGCAATAGTGAATCTCCGTGTTGTGTATCATGCGCTTGCCAAATTTAGCACGTCTGTTTATAAGAATGTTCTCGTTAAGAGAAAAACGGCACAAACCCATAACTATGTTCCTCATTCAAAAAAGGACAACTCCGCGGAGAAAAATATACAGACGAGCTGTGTCCAGGTGAATATAACGCAGTATAGTTGTACGCTTTCAATTTTTAAATACAGGAGAAATTCAGAAAGTCCTTTTTTTACTATTAAAAGGCTGTTTTACTATCTAACACTAAAACACCTCACAACACATTTTTGTCAAAATAAATGATCACTGTATATTGTTAATTAATTCAAATAATATAATATTGATTTAGTGTTGTAGTGTGTGTGCTGCTTTATTTTAATTGTGTACTTATTTCAGTCTATTTGTGTTTCTTATGCAGAAAAAAACAAGCAACGATGGACAACTACATGGGGAACAAGACACTCACCCTCCAGCAATTCTACATTATTTTTTATGGAATTTACCTCTTATATTTTGATGCCAAAAAATTATTCTGGACTGATATTTTGCACTGTTTAGCTCATTTTACACCACTGACTGTGTTCATGTGCAATAAAATAGATTGCAGTCAACTGCACAATTCTCTTATGTTTTTCTTTTTCTTAACTGAAATGTATTCATCACTTGTATAGGTTAAACAGCTAAACAATAACAAACAGATTAATCGATGAATTGAAAAAATAATCGACAGATTAATCGATTATGAAAATAATCATTAGTTGCAGCCCTACTGTAAGAAGAGAGGCGACTTGAGTACTTTGGAACGGACACATTGGGACCGGGTCAGGAGTTCTGGTACTGACATGTTGGGACCGGATCGGGAGTTCTGGTACTAGGAAAAGACCAATGAACAACTTGAGGTGAGTTTGGGAGTCAGGGAAACTAATCGGAGGCTAGTGTCTAGCTAATAGCAGGCGAGGGTCTGAACATATGCGGCTTTCTTGTGTTGGACATGAGGAGCTGACAAAATTTGTGTCTTTTTATTTAATAGTTTTTTTATTCAAACTAACAAGTACAGCAACGGTGTAGCTATTCGTTTCTATTTCTTAGTTGAATTATCAGACTCCATGCTGCCAGGGCTCACTGCTGCCCTCTGCTGGTTTGGTCAGGTTACAGTCATAGTCCAAACGGGTAACGTGGAGCTCCTATGACCCTAAACCGCTACTGTACTTTAAGATGGTGGATGACCATGGAGGGTCAACCACAGTTTATGTATATAAAAATGTATAATTGCAAGTTGAGAGGAATATTTAGACTTGACGTTGATGAGAAATGTTAGTGAGAAAGGACACGTTTGTGAACTGGAAACACAGGATGATAGTAAACAAGCAAAAATATCACACACTGGGCCTTTAAGAAATTATATAAAGAAAACATTTTTTCCAGATATAGAGGATCACTAATTTGTATATGTACTGTAGTGATAATATACATGTACGTTATCATAATTGATGTTGATTTTTTTGAGTTGTTGGGGTCTCGGGGGTCCTCCCTAGATTTTTGTCAGGGATGCAGAATTTCATCTATCAGCTAATAAATGATTTATGACTCTGAACAGGCGCCGTCAAACACACGATGTTCTAAAACACATATAATCTATGTTTAGAACATAAATTCACCTTTATTTTACCCCAAACCTAAGTCATCAGAACGAGAGCTGAAATACCATCCAACCATAGGAGAAGCCTGCTTTGTCTTTAGCATGCATTGCATGTATTGGGTCATGAAGTCCATGCAGAGAAGTACCTGCCTGGTTCCTCCACACACGTGTTTCAAGAGCATTTTTAACTCAGAAGGACCCCTGAAGGACTTAGTTGTTCGTCCTTTTATCAAAACTTATTTTGAGCCTGAGAGGGTTAAATGTCCAGGCGGGGAATTGCTTTGCAACACTCCCCAGGAGACGGAGAAGTCAGAGGGCAAACTGTCTCCGTCTGTGCGAGCGTGCCTCTCCCTCGTGGCGATGACGGAGAAGTATAATTAGGCTTAACGTGCCAGGATTTTAGGATTTTGGGTTGGGGGTGAACTGGAGCACCCAGAGAAAACCCCCACGCAGCACACGGAGACACAAATGATTAGATCTGTTGAGATCTCACCTGTGCTGCGTTTTTTTTTCTTTTTTCATTTGTGTTTTAGTAACTGGTGGTGGAAGAAGCTACATCCTATACACATAGTATAAAACTTCTTTAACGTTGTGGCATTTTAAATCAAGAGCCAACCCATCTAAGGTGTTGACTCTTAGTCTACGTAAACTAGAAGCTCTGGTAAGCGTAATTGTTAGAGCTAAAATATTTCACCCATTCCTGTTTCCTCCTGCAGAAGCTCTTGGAGAACTTCAGGTTAATTTTCTGCTCTTCTAAACTTTGAGCCTTTGTTTAATCCCTCGTGTTACTGTGTGTTACTATTTACTAAATTTAGACTGGCTGCTCGTATTATTTCCTCCGCCTGCATGTCCTGTTCCTGCAGGTTTGCAGTGTCTACTCTCACCCATTCAGTTTCTTCTCTCTGAAAATTTTACATTTTCCTGATTAAAATTCTCTGTTTCCTAGTTTTAAAACATCTAAGCCCAAGCTCCCTACTTCACTTGTATATGCTTTTCTGATCTTCATTGGTGTTCTGGAAGAAGACATCTCCAGTAGAAGTCGGATTGGTCCCAGCTGGATCCTAGGCCAGATGTAGAAGGCCTTGGCTCTTCAGCCTCCCAGGCTTCTTCAGCGCTCCCATGGACAGGCCCGGGGTTCTCTGGAAGCTCATCGTTATCATCATGAAGACCGGGAACAGTTGGGTACCCGTCACTGGGTACCTGGGTACTCACAGTTTTTTCTAAACTCCGTTCCCCCAGATCTTCAGACGCAGCTGTGGGACTGTCTGACTCGTCCTCCACAGGTGGCTGCTCGTCTTCCACGTTTAAAGATGCTTTCTGCATTTCTTCCCTCAGTTCCATCGTTTGTGTTTCATCATTATGAGGACATGCTGCGTAGCCAGGGCCCCTGTATTGGGTACCAAGTAACAAGTGCCCTCTAACCCCCTGCTGGGTACCAAGGTACTGGGTACCTAACGGGTATTCAGTTCCCAAGACATGGTCAGCCAGAGTTTGTGCCTCCTGAAGAATCTGGGCTGAATCTTTTTCGTTCTCTTGAGAGTCCATCTTCTGTTCTTCTAAACTCTGATTCCCAGCTTCTAAATACTGGAACTCATCTAGGAAGCATTCATGCTTTTCTTTATGCTCCTCTTCTGAATTTGTCTTTGTTTTTTCTAAACTCCGTTCCCCCAGATCTTCAGACGCAGCTGTGGGACTGTCTGACCCGTGCTCCACAGCTGGCTGCTCGTCTTCCACGTTTAAAGATGCCGCGTTCAGTTCCAACGCTTGTGGTTGCTCTTTCAGCTCCTGCCTGATCTGATCTAAATGTTTCTGGTCCTCTTGAAAAAGCTGGAGAATTCTTCCAATTTTTTTATCAGTGTCGTCCATTCTCGCTTCAAAAATAATTTTCTCTTGAGTCAAAAGTTCAACCTCTTCTTCCATAGCTCGTTGTTTCTCCTTTAAAAGATGATTTTCTGCTTCCCTTGTTTCCATAAACTCTAGTTCCTCTTCCTCCAGGTTTTGTGGGAGCATTACTAAACTGTCTCTCTCTTCCTGAAGAACCCGTTGGATGTCCTGAATGATCGGCTCTGGATTTATGTTTCTCTCTTCAGAGTCCGTCATCTGTTTGTCTAGACTCTGTTGCCCAGCTCGTAATCTTTTCAGCTCTTGTTGGAGGTAAGCCTGTATTTCTTCATTCTCCTCCTCCCATCTGAACTTTGTTAACAGGAAATTTGTCTTTTCTTCCTCCAGAGTTTCTCTCTGAAGTCTCAGACCCTCCAGCCCTTCTTCTAGAGCCGTTTCCTTCTCTTCTAAGATCTTACCTGCTGCAGCAATCTCTTCCCTAAAGTCCGTCACTTGTGTTTCCAGACTTTGTTTTCCCAGATGCAAATTGTCTAATTCTTCCTGGAGGATTTCGTAAATCCTCCCTTGTTCCATCTCTGATTCTGACTTAGTCATCAGGAAACGTTGCTTCTCTTCCTCCAGACTTCTCTTCTCAACACTCAGAAATTCCAGCTTCTCCTTCAAATCGTTTAGACTTTTGTTGAAATCTTTCTGGATTTCTTCCGCTGTTTCCACAAACTCCATTTTGTCCTCCTGCAGATTTTCTCTCAGAAGTTGAACATCTAGTTTCTCTTTGAGCAGAATCTGTCTGATCTGCTCTGATTCGGTCTGTTTCTGCTCAAACTCAACGATCTGGTTCTGTAGAGTCATTTTCCCAGCATTTAAACGCTCCCTCTCATCACGGAGAGTCTGCTTCTCTGCTGTTAACTCCCTTTCTGTTTGTTCCTTAAATTCAATAAACTCTAATTTCTGTCTTTCCAGATCTCTTTTCAGGTTATTAATTTCTTCTGTTGATCTCTCTTTGCTTTCCTGTAAAGCTTTCCATAAATCTCCGACTTCCTCTTTTGTCTCATTGAAGTTTTCGTTCGACTCACAATTAGCAATTTGAGTTTCTTTAATCTTATTCCACTCATCCTGAATTTCTTGTCCTTGTTTCTGCTGTTCCCTGTCTTCCAGCTCAATCTTTACTCTGTGTTCGTCGAGAAACTGAGTTGAAACTAAATGATCTCTTCCTTCCTGAGAGTTTGTCTTTAGTTCATCAACGTGATTCGTTAGTTTCTTTTGTTGATCCTCAAAGTGACGTTCTCGTTTCTCCAGATCCTGTGTTTTTGTTTCCAGTTTATCTTTTTCCTTCCGGAGATTTTCCCTGATGCAAGCTATCTTTTTCTCAAACGCATCCACCATTTGTTGAAAGTCGCGTTTCTGGTCACCAAAAACTAGTTTTCTGGCTTCCAGATCTCGTAAGTCTCTTTGTAAAAGCTCATTCTTTTGTTCAAATTCAACTTTAAGTATGTCTGAAAATACCTCCAGGTTGTCCACGTGTGGTCCACCAGTAGCCATCGTAGGTGTGCTCAGGTCTAAAGCCAGTGTGCAAATGAAGCTGTCTGTGGGTCTGCTGTGTGTTTGCCCTTTATACAGGTCTGTGTGCGTCTGCTGTGTGTTTGTCCTTTATGACATCATCAAAGGAAGCTGATGCTGGTAGATTCCGTTTCCATGGCCATGATTTTTTTTTTACTTTGTTGTTATAGTTCTAATTAATTTATTAATTAATTTATTTATTTATTTATTTATTTGTTTGTTTGTTTGTTTATTAATTAATTAATTAATTAATTAATTAATTAATTAATTTATTTATTTATTTATTTATTTATTTATTTATCATTAATAAAACTTAATGCAGCTTTAATTAATGCTGCATTAAGTTTTATTCATTTTTATTAAACAGATTTTCCGTCATGTGTTTACCTATTTAAAAAAAAGGGTGTTTAATTATTTACTGTCAATCTGAACATAAAATGATAAATGTTGTATTTTTATTTGTATGACTTTATTTTCAGGACAGATAAAAAAATTATCTTTTAAAGTAAAAGTTTATAGTAAAAAACAAAAGCTGAGGGATCCGGTGATGGCGGCCATGCAGAGGTTGAGCGGTACCGGCTAGATATAGACGGACTCACCTCTACACATAGCATTGGCTCTGAAACCCAAGTCCTTGAGAGGGGTTGGACACTCTCCTTAGCTGGAGTTGCTCCGGAAGAGAGGTGGAGGGCTGGGGTTGGCTTTTTGTTAGCCCCAAGACTCTCTGCCTGTGTGTTGGGGTTTACCCCATGGGACGAGAGGGTAGCTTCCCTGCGCCTTCGGGTCGGTGAACGGGTCCTGACTGTTGTTTGTTCTTATGGGCCAAATATCAGTTCAGAGTATACACCCTTTTTGGAGTCCCTGGGACGAGTGCTAGATAGTGCTCCATCAGGGGACTCCATTGTCCTGCTGGGGGACTTCAATGCTCACGTGGGCAATGACAGCTTGACCTGGAGGAGTGTGATTGGGAGGAACGGCCCGCCTGATCTGAACTCGAGTGGTGTTTCCTTATTGGACTTCTGTGCAAGCCGCAGTTTGGCCATAACGAACACCATGTTCGAACATAAGGGTGCCCATCGGTACACTTGGTACCAGGGCACGTCCTGGCTCTCATCAGCGCACATTTCCAGTTATGTCTTTTATAATGAGAAAACAATAACTTAATATGCACAAACACAAATACTAACCGAAGACGTTAATGGGCAAGCAAGGCTAGTAGGCATGCCACAACTAGCCTGGAGTTAGCCTAGCCTTTTGTTCGCACATCAGCGCTACCCAAAGCTAGCACAGCATTTTGTCCACACTATAGAACAGTGTAGCACAAACGGAGGTCATATTATTAATTATTATGATAAGTGCTCACTCACTGTTGTCCTGAGGTCCAGTGTGAGCTGGAGTGGCTGTGTCCATGCCACTCTCCCGGCCATTACTCACTGGCCTCTCACCATAAATGGCTTCAATTTCGGCAAACCACTTCCAGTGCCGCCGGTCTGCCCCACTCCTGCTGTGGTGGTCCTTGACGGACCCGTACTCAGCTTTTATTTTTTTTAATTTTTTTTGCGGCACTGCTTAGAGGTGCGTTCAAAGCCGTGGGTGGACATTGCCAGTGCCATCCCCTGAAAAATCTTTTCATTCCACACTGAACCGTCCAGTTCGCGCTGGATTCTTTCATCAGTGAGCAAAGAGAGGAAGATTTTAACCTCTTCATTGCTCCAGGGGTTAGAAGATGAGCCCTGAGAGCAGGGAGAAGACATGATGTCGACGCTGGAGAGCACAATCAAAAAATGGATACTGAAGATTGAGTTTGAGTTTGGTGTGATTCTGTGACATCACTACAAATAACACCACAGGGCCAATCAGAAGATTTTATTAATGGGGGGGGGGGGGGGGGGGTTACACATCACTTGACCAATCGGGGGAGAGTGGGCGTGTTGGGCCGGGTCGGCCTGAAGCAGACCCCCTCAAGAAGAGGGCTCAAGAAGGGAGATTGGGTTGGAGCGCGTTGCAGAACCAGAGCGCATGCGGGAAGGTTCCTCCCACTGAAGTGAGTGTTTTCCAAACCCTGTCTCTCAGAGAGACTTGTCACTTAGAAAATGTTTCCTGATTATGAAACTTTGGCTGAATAGCGCTTGTTCCTGTCTCCAATGAGGCAACGCATCCAGGAGCCGTCTGAGGAGAAGCCCAGAATCTCACATCCTCTTCAGCTCAGGAAACGCCTATGATTACGCACAAGCGTGACTCGTCAACCCGGTCTCACAGTAAGACTGGGTTGGGTCTGTTCAGGTTTACACAGACAATCTTAACATAGAATTGACTTACAGACATAGGCGTCATTTTAACCGGGGACGCCGGGGACATGTCCCCGGCAAAATTTGTGATTGGCAACTGTGTCCTCCCCCACTTTCAAAAACGCCTGCTGATGAGGATTTTTGTTTTACCAGCTCAGATCTTATTCCAGGGGTCGGCAACCTGTTCCCATCAAAGAGCCATTATTACCCGTTTCCCACGGTAATTTTGGACGGACCTTAATAAGCAGTGACTTAAGTGAAGCAGGCAGGTCGCGCTAGAAAATTTCGTTTAAAAAGACGTCATAAATGTTTTCCCCGTCATTTTTATTTCTAAAATATGAAGTAAAAACTCACAATTTAATTTTCATTCATTTGTCATTAATATGTAGTCTACACCCGTGTGTTAAGTGGACCATCTTCCAGTAAAAGCAAAGCATCCAGCCCATCTCTCCAAATGCATAAAATGTGCATCAGCTGCTAGTTAGAAGCGCCGCGCGCACCATCAGCTACGTCAGCCCAGACAAGAGCAGAGCAAATAGAGAAAGAATAGAGGATAATTGTGTCTGGATGTGAACCATCACCTGGCTTCTAGTCCACACTATCAGCATTATTTTAATTGTGTGTGTGTGTGTGTGTGTGTGTGTGTGTGTGTGTGTGTGTGTGTGTGTGTGTGTGTGTGTGTGTGTGTGTGTGTGTGTGTGTTTTCCACTTCAAACTCTGGTCTAACCAACCAAACCAGCATGTCCAGTAACATATTAATGTTACACTTCATGTAGGCTAGGAACATTTCACCTGCCGTGGCCCGACCGCTTCTGCTCCACATAAACTTTGTGCATAATCAAATGTCTCTACAGGTGCTTTCTGAGCTGAAGAGGCTATTCTGCCTCAGACTGGATGGTCGTGCGTCTCCATATTAGAGACGGAACAAGCGCTGTTCAGCCAAAGTTTCATAATTTCATAAAAAGAACATTTTTCCAAGTGACACATCCCTCAGAGAGACCGGGTTTCCAGACCGCTTCAGTGGGAGGAAATCTTATCGCATGCACCGTGGCTCTGCGCTGCGCTGCGAACCCCTCTGCAGATCTTCAGCCCACTGTCCACCGTGGGCACTCCGAGCCGCGCTGAACACAGTGTTCAGTATAAAGCTCTGATGTTCTGATGGGAATCGTTTCTTGATGGATTTAGTTACCTCTGCGATGTGCGTAACGATTAAAGCAGCTCATCTGTGTGCATCAGTGCGCGTCGGGGTAATTCTTTCAAAACAACCAATATCCTTGAGTTTATCCGTCAAAATAAAAGTCAAATGTAAATATCTGAAACCTGCCATTTAACTGTTTTGCCTTCCTGTGAAGATTGTTGCAAAGAGAAACAATTAAACTTGATTAACCCCAGAGCCACAGATATAAAATTAATGCAGTAAAATATAAAGCATTTTATTTAAATATCCATTCATTATTTTACAAGCACAGAGAGCCGCATCAGATTCAGATCAGCGGGAAGGTTCCTCCGAATGAATTCAGTCGGAGGAATCTTCCTGCATGCGCTCTGGTTCTGCGACGTACTCCAAGCCCCTCTCCACATCTTCAGCTCGCTGTGTACCTTATGTAGTCCTCGCTGACAGTGAGCTGCGCTGAGCAGTGTCCAGCTCAGATGTTCAGATGGGAATCATTTCTTGAGTGATTTAGCTACATCTGCGATGTGCGTAGAATAAAAGTTCGTCTGCATGCGTCGGGGTAATTCTTTCTATTCTTTCTCCGTCAAAATAAACGGTCAAATACGGGAACTGTCCGGTCAGCACAGGCCCTGCTTTTAACTGTTTTGTTTTCTTGTGAAAATTGTTGCAAAGAGAAACTTGATTAACATCAGAGCCAGGCGCACTGCGCCGTTCTCTCCGTCACTGAAAATGAGGGAAAAACAAAATGATCGGATCCTTTTCTGACCTTCCCCACCTACAAAGTTTAATTACAACAATCAAACGTGACAGAGCCTGGATTTGTATTCTGAACAGTCTAAACATGTTTTAAAAAGAAACGTATGACAAAAGTGGCACCTGCTCAGTAAAACCACCAACAGGGTGAAAAATATCAAAATATTGTAGGCAGAGACGGGCTACAACTTCTGGATCCACTTTATATAAATCATTTTATTGATTATCTTTTTATGAAAGATAACTTTGACGTACACGAGCGACCAGTACTGGCTGCTGTCACCTGTTGTGAGCAGCGCTCTGCTGTCTGAGGGTAGGCCCCGCCCACAACGCCGCAGCTGCTGTGGCTCCCAGTGTTTTCTTTACTGTGGGAAACGGGTAATAATGGCTCTTTGATGGGAACAGGTTGCCGACCCCTGGTTTAAGTGTTTCAATTTTTTTAAATGAATTCGATTAAAAATAAAGGAGCCCGGCCCGGCCCGTGTCCGAGGTAATTACATAGTCATTGGCCCGAAGCTCGGCCCGAGGGCCGTCGGGCTGGGCCGACCCGAGGGCCTAGGGCTTCAGTGCAGGGCTCTACTACAAGTTATGGTATGTGTCATTTCAGATACCATAAAATATTCAACAAAAAATCAAGATGCTAGAGGCTGTATTCTGAGAAGATGGCAAAAGACTACTCCTACATCCCAGAGATCCAAACCATGATAGTCAACCAACGTTTGACAAGCAAGAAAGGTCTTCCTCGACGCTACAAGCTAAGGCCTGAGGATCCAAGGCGTTACGGTTTGCTGTCTGTAGTCCCTGCACCATCAACAGA